AGTTTTCTGGTGGTTTATTGGAGATAGGAGTCTCACGGTCTTTCCTGCCCGGGCTGGCTTTGAACCGAGATCCTCAGCTTCCTGAGTAGCTAGGATTACAGGCGTGAGCCACCAGCGCCCGGCAAATCTTAGCCTCTTGAGTAGCTAGAATTACAAGCATGAGCTACTGGTGCCTGGCCATTCCCTCTATTTTTTTTTCCCTTATCCTTCTCTGTTTTTTTTTAAAAAATGGGGTTTTATGGTTGTTTTCATACATGCAACTAAACTACTACCTTATTTACCCATTCTCCCCTTTGCCCTCCTCCCTTCTGTTAGTCCCTCCCATTGGTCCTTTCTTTTTTTTAAAGGTTAAGACTCCTATGAGAGAAAGCATGAGGTGTTTTATCTTTCTCAGTCTGCCTTATTTCCATTTGATCTTTCTAGTTTCTAAGGTGGAAGCTTATGTTGCTGATTTGTGACTGTGCTTTTCTGATAAAGATAAATTTCCCTCAAGTCTCAGCACATTTTACTTGCAGCTTCTTCCCAGCTCCTTTGATCCTTGAGGTATCTAAGTAACTAGAGGAGTAAGAATGTCTGTCTTGTGTTAAACTATTTGGCCTTTTTGTCTTTGACTCCTGAAATAGGCCCAATTCCAGTACTATTAAGGTAGAAAAAAAAATCTCATACACAAAATACAGCCATATCTGTGTGTGTTAATGAGGTGATTTTTGGAGATTACCTAGATAATCACAGGTCAAATCCGAGAAACAGAAGCTACTATAAGACCTCTTCAGGATGGGATGGGGAAAAAAAGGAGGAGGCAACAATGCTCGATAAGAAATGTATTCACTACCTTGCCCATGCAATTGTAACCCCTCTGTATGGTATTTTCACAATAAAAAATTAAAAAATAAAAGACCTCTCCATACTTCGTTTTCTGTGTGCACGCATGCTAGAGCCTGACCTCAGGGCTTAGGCACAGTCCCTTAACTTTTTCCCATAAAACTGTCCACTTTACCATTTGAACCACAGCTCAAGTTCTGACTTTTTGGTGGTTACTTGGAGATCACAGAGTTTCATAGACTTTCCTGTCTGGGATGGCTTTGAACCTTGAGCCCTTAGAATACAGCTTCCTGGGTAGTTATGATTATAGGTGCCCAGCAACCTCGATTCTTTTTGGGTCAGCTGTGGGGCTTGAACTCAGGGCCTTGGCACTGTCTCTGAGCTCTTTTTACTGAAGGCGAGCACTCTAACACTTTGAGCCACAGCCCCATTTCAGTTTTTGACTGATTATTTGGAGAGAAGAGCCTCTTGGGCCTCCGAACCCTGATTCTCAGACCTCAGCCTCCTGAGTAGTTAGGATGACAGGTGTGAGCCATTGGTGCCCAGCCACCCCCATTCTTAACACATCCTTCAGTCACGGCATCCCTTACTGGAACTATTTTTGGACTGGGCTGCAATTAGCTGCAGGGCAAAGGGAGCATCTTCCTCATCGTTAGCTCTGATGCCCAGCAGTTCCTATGAACAGAGCAGCCATAAGTGAAAGTCAAATTAATGAAAAAGAAACGAGGTGGAAGGAGGCAACTTTGCACCAAACATATTTAAAGATAGAAGAGGGGCTCAGAATCAATATACATATTCATTTAAGAGTCAGGCTAGACTTACTGTTAGATTGGAGAAGTATATATCTAAATTGTCTTTCTTTCTTGGATATGGACATAATTCAATTTTAACCAGGGTGATCCTCTCTCCTTTTCCCTCTCCCCCCTCCCTCTCTCTCTCTCCTCTCTCTCAGCTTTCTAAGATTAGTATGCTCAGCAAAGAAACCACTGGAGAACTCCCTGCAGTTAGATATTTAACAGGATTAGCAAAAGAGCCCAGATATAGTTCCTGTACATCTGTATTAGCTAGCTCAGGAAAGAGCCCTGAAAAGGGCTACACAACCAGATCAGGCCAGCTCTTACCAAAGTCTTCTTTTCGCCTCCCATGTTTCCTTAGTGTCCCAGTTCACATTCAGAGCAAAGCCAGGAAGCTGCAGCCCAGAAGTGATTCCCTACCTGATCTGGATGACACTTGTTCTCTACAAGTCTGCCTGAAGCGTAAGATACTGAGCAGGGGTAGGAGCTAGTGGCTCTCCCCTGTCATTCTACTTAGGAGGCTGAGATCAGAAGATCAAGGTTCGAAGCCAGCCCTGGCCGTCAAGCCCAGGCTAGTCCCACCAACTAGCAAAAAGCTGGAAGTGGAGCATCAGCCTTAAACAACCCCCTGCTCCCCCAAAACACCTAACGGACAGGACCCAGGCCTTGAGGTCAAGCCCCAGGAAGGGCACAAACAAGACCCCAGCAAATAAAACAAAGCTGGAGCCAAACTACACCTCGAGGCCAGTTTCTCGGCCACCTGGCCCCTCATCTTGGAAAATTGAGGCCAGCCAGGGGCCAGGAGGGAACATGGGATGGGGATGGGGGGGGTGGGGGATGGAGATGGCTTCTAGATCTTTCAGAAGTGTAGGCCTGGAGAGAAGGAGGGGAGCAGATGGGGGCAGGAAGGGACGGGGAAGAGAGTCGGGGATCTGCAGGAGGCTCAGAGCCAGTCCTGGAGTTTGGAAGAAGCTGCAGATCGGTCGTTGGAGGGAGGAAAAAAAAAAAAGAAGGGGAACAAGCTACCCTCAGGCGGCGCGGGGGTGCGCGCGCGGGCGGCCCGTGCGGGGAGCGGAGCG